CGTGATCACCACGTGCGGCATTTGGTTCCTTGCTCCAGTCATGCGTCAAGTTACTCATCGTTTCTCTTTGGTTGTAAGGGACTGGTACGATTCGTTCCAGTGAATCAACAACGTCACCTCTTGGCCCATCTGTCACGTGATATTTACTGGAGATGCTTGTTGGTCGACTGTTAGTGACGTCACCATCAATATCATCTACGTCGCTGTGTGGGGGATCAGTGATAACATCAATGATTGCGTCATTATTGGCTTCAGTGATCGCGCCATCTGTGACGTCAATGATGACGTCATCTATATCATACATGTCAGTGTCTCTGTTGTCATCTTGATGGGCTTCTTTCATTTTCATTAGTTCTTCGAATGGGTCTAGCACTTCGTCGTTATTGTTGTTTTGGTGAGGTTGCCGAGCGTCTAAAGGATCAAAAGTGACAAGCAGTGGATGGTCAGGGAAGACAGGAGGAGATGACGATCGAAATGTGAGATCTGTGACATTTGTAAGTGAGGAGTTATCTGATGGGAGCGACTCGAAATGAAACAGATCGTCTGAAGGTGGCTCAATCAATAATGGCTGCTGGCAATCATTTGACTGCTGATAGGCGCTCTGTTGATCCACAGCATCATCTGTTCTCACATCAAACACATTCTTTGCCATGTCTGTTGAGCTTGTTGTGTCTGGTGGAGATTCAGTGACAATTTGTGGGTGATAGTCGATCTGTAGATCAAGAACATCCCCTGTTTTCACATCAAATGGATCTTCCACCATATCTGTGGAAGTTTCTTCGACAGATGTTGACTCAGTGAAAAATAAGACCGGTAAATCTTTTGTCACATCGAACAGATCCTCTGTGGCAGTTGTTGGCCCTGATGGCCCCTCAGGAACAACTGGCGACTGATAGTCGATGTGTAGCTCTGATGAAGCCTCGGGTTCCCAAAAAACAGGAGCATCATCTGTGGCTGGTGAAACGGATTGAAGATCGGAGGCGTCCTTTTCTGCATCGTCCAGTTTCTTGGAAAATTCTTCTTCTGCAGCTGCTGATTGCGTGTCGGTTTCAGAAACATTAACAGTCTCACTAGGAATAACCTTTACCACAGGGATTCCAGAGAAACCTTCGTTATCTGAATCCACAGGGTTACGTTCTTTAGAATCAGCGGAAAGTATATTGTTCGGTTCTTGCTTTGCACCTTTGTCATTAACAGCGATGCTTTCATCGATGTAGTCAAACATGGACTGTGTTGATCTGAGTGAATCCACAGAGCTATCTCGGCTTCGGTTAGATCGATGACGAGTCCGAGCTCGGCTGAGCCTGCCATACTCGGCTAAACTGTCAGCGCTTCTTCTCCGCCAGTCTTGAGATGCAGGTCTTGTTCCATGTACTCTCATTTCATGTTTCTTTATGTCTCTGAGGAGTTCATTCTCCAGGTCGGTGACTTTGGTTTGAGCTGTACTTAGTTTGTCAGACCAGTCGCGAATCAACTTGTCAGCTTGAACGGGATTGGCTTGCAGCTCGGATACCCTAGCGACTGTGACTTCTGACTCGACAGGGACGTTCGCTTTTTCTTTGTACAACGACTCCAGCTTTGCCAGCTTTGCCTTGACATCAGCCAACTCTTTCGCGAGTCTATCATTCTCGTTGCAAACTTTCTTGTAAGAAGCCTCGGTTTCTTTGAGTTTTCTGGCAGTCTTTTCAGACTCGACTTCCATGTCGTCTATCTGTTCTTTCTGCATTTTCAACTTAGCATCTTTCCTGGCAAGCTCCTTCTTCACAGACTGCAAGGCTCTTTCAGCGGCGTCGCGGTTGTAATTCGAATTCAAGGCGGTCTCTTCTCGCTCCGCTAGATTATTCCGGAATTCATCACTGATCTCTTTTTGCTTTTGCAATCTTTTCTCTAGCTCTACATTCTCTTCCTTCGTGTATTTCAACTTTCTGTTAAGTTCTTCCAGCTGACCATGTAAGTCAGCGTTGTCTCGTGTTGAATCCTCCAGCTTATGTTCCAGTGTACCAATTTTTGCGCGCGTCTCTCTCAATAAATCTTCCATCTCGGTTATATTTTCTTCTTGAGTCTCCCTAGTTGTTTCCAACTCGGACAATGTCTTCTTAGTGCGTGATAATTCGTCTCTCAGCTTTGTTTTTTCCTCCATATCTTTGTGTTGAATATCTTCGTTCTCTGCTTTATTTTTCTCCAGTAGCTGAACTTTTCTTTGAATAACATCATTTTCCCTGTCTTTAGCTTCAACTTTTTGCTTGAGAGCCAGTCGTCTTTCTCGTTCGTACTCCAATTCATGGCGAATGTCGCTGCTAATCTTCTCCAGCTCTTCTCTCTTGTCTTCAAGCGCTTCTTGTTTGGAAAGTAAATCTCCCAACTTCCTTTCCATCTTCGTAAGCTTTTCTTTCAAATCAATGTTCTCTGTCTCCGTTTTGTCAATTTTCTCGCGCGCATTTGCAAACCTTTGTTGCAGCAGTTGCTCGTTTGATAGTCCGTTGTCTCTTGCCATTTCTAAGTCTGAAATATTTTCTTCCGCAGCTTTCAGTTTCTTCTCTAAACTGGCAATCTTCTCCTGACAGGAATTCAAAGATGTTTGAGCGTTTTCAAACTCCTTTTCTGTTTCGTGGCAATCTTTCTCTAATGCGCGGCACTCTTTTTGAGACTCCTCTAGTTGTGTTTCAAGCTTTGTAATTCTTTCTTTGGCCTCGCGCAAGTTTTCTTCCATTTGGGAATTTTTATCTTCGCCTCTCTCAAACGCTGTCTCCAAATCTGTTATGCTTTCATGAGCTGCTGATAATTGTTGTTCAAGAGCTTTTGCTTCATCTTGAGATTCAACCAGTAACTTCTCCATTTCTTGTTGGGTCTTTAATGTGTCATCCAAGCGCACCCTGAATTGTTCATTTTCTTTGTGTAATCTACTGTTCTCATTTTCGTAATCTTCAAGCTTGTCAACCAGCTCTTCCACTTTCTTTTCTTGCCCAGAAATGATCCTTTTGCCTTCACTATTCTCTAATTCCAAAGCCAAGATCTTCTCCTCCTTTTCAGCAACAGTTTGCTCTAGATCTCTATGACTGTGCGCCAATCTTGTCTTTTCTTGCGATACTGTGTAAAATTGTTCCTTGGTCTCTATAAGTTCAGCCTGAAGATCTGAAATCTCACTTTGGTTATTACTCGATAGGGACTTAATTTCAGCGTGGCGTTGTTCAGCGAGAGTCAACTCTTCTTGAAGCTGTTCGACGTGATTGTCTTTCTCTCGGATTTCTTCTTGCAGCTCAAAAACCGTGCGTTTGTTCTCTTGCAATGAATTCTCTAAAGTATTGTTCGCATCCGTTAGTTGTTGTCGCAATTCTTCATTTTCTGTCTGCAGATCTTTCAAATTTTCAGATGCTTTCTCCAGTTTTTCCTCTTCCTGGGCAATTTTTTTCCTTAAATCTTTGACTTCGTGTTCCATTCCTGCAGACCCTTGTTGGACAAGAAGTATTTCTTGCTGTAATGCTTTCGCTTCTTTTTGGATATTGCGATACTCTCGCTCTGTTTCACCCAGCCGAACCTGCAAATTAGCATTGTTCTGTTCTGATTGGTTCAGATGTTCTTGTAAAGATTTCTCTGTATCGCTAGAAAATTCTTGCTGTCGTTCTAAGTTTCGAATGATATCTTGAGCTGTTAACAACTGCTCTTCGGCGTATGAACTTTTTTCCAAACGCTCGCAAGTTTCTTTCTGTTTTTCTTGTTCCTGTGCAACTTTTTCTCTGAGTTCTTGGACCTCGCGGTCCAGTTCTGCAGAACCTTGTTGCACATGTAGTATCTGTTGCTGCAATTTATTGGCTTCTTGTTCCGCGTTGCGACATTGCTGTTCTACCTTACCTAACTGAACTTGCAAATTTGCATTGGCTTCTTCAGATTGACTCAAAAGCTCTTGTAAAGATTTTTCTTTGTTGCGTGAAAGTTCCTGTTGTCTTTCATAATCCAGAATTAAATTCTGAGTTCTAAGCAACTGCTCTTCAGCCTGAGAACTTTCCTCCTTGGAGCTGTTTACAAACGTTTTAAGACCTTCTTTTTCCTCGCATAACACCGACAGCTCTTTCTGTAGCTTAGCAACCTCTTCATCCTTTGCAGACAATTCTTCTTGCATTATTTGTTGAAGCTCCTCTTTGTTTTCCTGAGCTATTTTGCACTCGTTTTCCATGTCTTGGAGGTTTTCTTGAGCTTGTTCTAGCTCTGATAACAGCTGTTCTTTCTCTGCGGCCATCTTAGCCAAACTCGCCTCATAATCGTGAAGTTTTCCTTCCAGTTCTTGAGTTCTGTTCTCAATCCGATGAACCTTCTCGCGAAGAGGTTGTGTAGTGGAACCATCCAGCTCATCGTTCAAATCGATGAGACTCTCTTGCGGTTCGTTTTCCAATGATACTAAACTGTTTTCTGGACTTGCTTCCAGAATGGGTTGCAAAATAGCTGTTTCTACCGGCTCATCATCAAAACGCAAAATCTCTTTCTCTGGCTGAGGTGCAATGAATTCTGTGATTTTATCCTGTGATGGAATATTTTGCTGTTCTTCCAAGGCCTGTGCGAGCATCATTTCCCTCTCTCTTAACTCTTTGTTTTCTTCAATCACTTTACGTAGCTCCGTGTCCATTTGCAGTTGTAAACCCCTGGCTTCTTGTTCCCGATCTTTAAGGTCTTCGTTCTGAGCAATGACATCTGCTAACTTTTTCTCCGTTTCCTTAAGTCTGCGAGTTTGGAGGACAAGATCAACGTTAGTTTTATCTTCTTCGTTCGACAGTAAACCTTCCTCGTGCAACACAGACTGTCTAGGGTGAAATTTGCCCTGCGAGAAAATTTCTCTTCTAAGTCTGTCAATATCCTTTTCTCGTTCCATGTCAGAGAACCCACTGTCTGGGCTAGCAGGGTCTGCTGTGTGATGTGATGAAAACCCATCCTTTGTAACACCTTCTCTATTAAGTGATCTTGCGGACAGCTTCCCAGATTTTAACAAGTCAAGTTCTTGGTCGAGTAACATCTTTGCCATTCGTAAACCCTCTATCTCTCTATTTTTCTTGAGAATTTCATCGGTCAAAGTATTCATTTGATCGTGAATCTCTAGCAGCTCCGTTTGTAGTTCTTTAATTCTTTCATCCTTTCTTTTCATGAGAGTTTCATGAGCATCCAACCTCATTCTTTGCAAAGAATTTTGCTCGCGGGCACTTTGAAGAGCCTCCTCCAATTCCTCAATCTCGGTTTTGCAGGTTTGGAAATCGGCCCTCAGTCTCGCATTTTCTTCGTTTAAATCTTGGTTATTTTTCATAACATCATTCATTTGATGCTCATCTTCAGCTTCCATTTGCTTGGCTTGTAATTTTCTCTCTAATGACGCAATTCTTGCTCTTGAATCCTCAACTGCTGCTAGCAGATCTCTCTTGTTCTCTTCGCTGGTGTCGTAAAACCCTCGAGCTTGAGCGAGTTCTTTCTTGGCGAGGTACAATCGTTGCTCGATTCTCGTGTATTTCTCGAGGTTCGCAAGCACTTCCTGGTTCAACTCGGTTTCTCTGTCATCATATTGTTTACGCTGTCTCTCCAGTTCATCGACCTTGCCCTGTAACTCGTGCAGTTGTAGTTTCATTTTGGAAATCTTGCCGCTGCGAGCTTCACTCGTCGTTTCTGAACTCAACCGATCAATCTCCCTGTCAGCATTTTCTTTCTGTAACCTTTCGTTCTCAACCTTTAGTGAACGCTCCTCGCCCCTCACGGCAGCAAGCTCCCTTTTCATGGCTTCCACTGTTTTGATTAAACCTTGGTTCTCTTTAGTAACAGACGCCAGAAACCGTTCTTTGTCATTCAGTTTATCTCTGTAACTTTCGCATTTCTCACGCAAGGCCAAAATTTCTTTCTCCAATTCGGACAAACTGTCGCCAGAAATATTTGCTTTGGAATTTGCATCGCTAATACACCTTTGTAAATATCTACCTTCCTTTTTGGAACTACTCAGCTTTTCTCTCAGCGTGTTTATTTGCTCTTCGCTAAACTGCAGTTCTTGTTGAAGTCTTGTTTTATCTTGCTCCGCATTCAGTCGATTTGCATTCACTCTCAACACTTCGTCTTGCAGATTTTTAACGTCTTCGTGCAAACCTCGGTTTTCAGCTTGGAAACGCTTCAGCAATTTGTCTTTAGATGCCATGTCTTTGTTGTAAGACTCGCAAAGCTTTTCCTGTAGAGCAACTTTTCTTTCCAATCTAGCGTACTCAGTTGTCTCGAATTTGCGAAGCTTTTCTCTCAGACGTGAGTTCTCCTTCATCAGCGTTTCGCTCAGCTCGTCGGGTTCAACGTAACCTGGGGAAATTCTATAACCACGTGTTCCATTTTCAAGTGTACGACTTGCTGACTTCAGTTGTAGATTTTCTCGTTTCAATGTTTCAACATCCGTTTCTAATGTTTGTTTAGCAGCTTTCAGTCGTTCCATGGAAGCCTCTCTTTCCGCCTCTTCCTTGCGATGTTGCTGACAAATTTCTTGATGTTTCAGGAGCTGTGCATGCATTGTTTCGAAGCTGGAGATTAATTCCTCCTTCTGAGTTTCCATTTGTTCAAAGTACTCCAACAGGGACGCTTTCAAATCATCCTCTAATTTCGACACCTGCAAGCCCAGCGCTTTAGCTAGGCTATCACGCGCGACCGCCGATTTATCATTTACAAAATATGTAGTTTCATGCGCACGATGGTCGAAACTCGGTGAGTCAATCCCCAATCCAGAACTCCCTCCCTCGTCGCTGTCGTGCTTGTCATCGCCATAGTTCTCCCATACACGGGCGCCGTTCAATGCCGAGAAATCGCCATTCTGTCCGTTGAAACTTTCCGTATTAGTCGAATCAGTAAGCGCCCTTAATTTGACGAGAGTCTCTTTCGCTAGTGCAAGTTGTTTGTGGATATGTTCTTTATCTCGTGTATAATTCGCCATGTTCAATTGGGCATGGAAATTCGAGTATCGCTGATGTCGCCTTTTTGTTGTGTCAAGCGGTCCAACACGACTTCACGGAGGCGAAAATACAATCCATTCAATCGGTTGTTAGATTGATCATCGCAAAATCATGCACTTTCCTTTATGACTTTTGTCTTTTCCACCAAGGCTTGTACTACCATTTCGACCTTGCTTACAATTCGGCTTTCGCAATCCTCTCCCGGCTGTGCAATCAACGTAATAAAAAGATATTTTTATGCGTGATGAAAACTACACACCGCAATAGTCTGATACTATAATTATTACCCGGAGAAATATACAGACAGTCTTTTACCACTGTTGATACAAGGCGAGTTTTCCATCCATATTTTATCCATGGGAAATCTCGACGTCCCTCAAAAGTAGTTTTCACTTGCGTTCCCGGGTTGGCAAAACCGTAACTTAATAAACATATCGTTTGGTCGCTTGCTGTAAAAGACCATTTAACCTGCGAAAGAGCGACTGATGTTTATTATGCAAAAAAGCCAGTTGTTGTTATTTTCCGTCTTCATTACTCCCTTTGTGATTCGCCAGTTCTCAAGTTTACGACAGGTGTTCATGTCAGATTCGGTAACTATGGAAGCCGACTTTCTCTCGCGGCATGTGATTGGCTGGTTTTAACTAATGATAGCTGGATATTCGGATCTGCGTTTGTCATTTGGTTTACAAAAACGAACTGAGCTAATTTCGTTTTATAAAATCAATATTCCTTGTATTGATTACCGAAAGCCCGAAAATCGCAGCGAGGTATTCTATAATTTTCTCTGTCAGTTTTGATATTGCTTTTGTACATCATACCTGTAATATTGACCTAATAATTTCTGCGCAAAGTGAAAACGTAGAAGGACTTTGCGGAACTGTTTTCATTTAAACACTTCACACAGGAAAAGAGGCTTCAAACTGGAACAATATTACACAAAACACAACGGTCGTGATATTTTATTATGGTCACATTTGCGTACTTTTTCAATAGGTTCTCCTATTCTCGTTTTATTTTATTTCTTTAATTGCAGTTGACTAGGATTTTAAACAAATATACGGTAATTGAATCCGCCTTCTGAAATTTAAATGTATCGTGCCTGTTTGTTTTGGCATTTTTAAGAGGCCAGCTCTTGTCGCTCTCAGAATAAGATATTAACATAAACTAAACGCGGCGAAGCACTTATAACACGTTAGTTGCATTTTAAAACAATCATTTTGCGTTCATTTCTCATTGCTATCTATTCTGAGCCTACAGTCCTTCGAAGCATTGTTCTAAACAAAATGCCTTTTTTAATAGTCAGCATTCAATTTTATCGCGCAACAAAAGGTGTTTTCGTGATGTCGACAAGTTTAATTTTGCTCAAGGTTTGCTGTACGGGAGGTATCTTGACAAATATTTTTTCTTTGCGTAAATCGATCTGCATAAAACCTCGCAAGGACAGAATCACACCTGTGTGACATAATTATGAAGCTATGTTTATTAGTTTATGGTTTATATATGTTTTAAAATTGATTTAGAGGTACACATTCCAAATTAAGATGTTTTGCAGATCTACAGAAGTTAGGGGAAATACAAAATAAATAAAGAGTTCAAGGTTAATACATAAATAGGATGAACTTAGCGAAAAAGGTCCTCCCTGTTTACCAAACCCAATGATCCATAGTTTTTTCTCTGTCATTTTTCTCCCGATATATTTCATTGAGGTTAAATTATAAATTCATTTCAGGTTCATTTAGGGGAAAAAAACCAGCTGATAAAACAACAACAGCAAACGGACGGTTGAAAGGAAATGCATTTCCATGTCACTTTATGTTAGCGATACTTGCTAAAAAGCGCTTCATTAATAAGGAACAACTACATGAAAATGTGTAACTAGTTTATAGTTCACATTTTTAATATATATTTTTCCCTTCGACTTGCCCCAGTTCAAAATAAATATTTGTCAGAATTGTTGGAGAAAGTCGCTAGGAGAATTGCTGTTCACTGTGACAAGATGTCTGATCAAAATTGATACTTCACTCGAAAAGACTTGTCGCTGCAAGTCTTTGCCTCTTGTCTGCTCGATATGAGACGATGTGTGGTTCGCGTTCTTTGGAAGCGCGCATGGTTAATTGTTACTCCGGTCGGTTTTTTTCCCATTTGCAAGGGGCAGGGATGCACTTCCTCTCGTTTACGGGCAACTCACTCTCTCACTCATCCTCTTCGCTTCTGTGAGTGGAGCTATAAAGCTTGGTGGTTTTAGTTTAATTTTATCCACCAAGCGAAAAAGTTAAAAAAACGCCGTTATCAGTATGTTCGTCTCAGTTGTAAACAGACGTATGTAGTGAACCCGAAACTGAGGAAGACAAAGAATACTTTCCGTGTCACTAGAACTTGATCGCTTGATGAAACAGTAAATTCTTGAAAAGAAGTATAAAGGAGTAAGGAGAATTCGATGGCGACCGTGGTTCTTATCTGTATCATAAAGGGACAAAAAGTATTATTAATCCCCCGGATGGCTGTTAATCCATCGCCAGGTTCAGTAACCCTCAGAAGTTTGGAAAAAAGGGGCAAGTCTACGCCGGGCAAGGTGACCCGTATCATACCACCCGATCTTATCCTGGTTACCGAAGTTTGAGTCGACCAGGAGCATTTCTACTCCCCCCTGGATGGGTTGCTAGTCCACCGCAGGGTTACCCCCAGCATTAAGTTGGCCGGTACCCATTTTTACACCTGGGTGGAGAGAGGCACTGTGAGAGTAAAGTGTCTTTCCCAACGACACAACATAGTGACTCTGACTAGGGCTCAGAACAGGACTGCTCGATCCGCAGCCCAGCGCGCTAACCATGAGGCCAATGCCACACCCACACAGGAATTTGTAAGGTTGTCGTATGAAAGTGGCAGTAACCTCCGTTTTTGTTCAAGAACAAAGTGAGACAAGCCAGGCTTGAAAAAGTGAGAAGTGATCGACACATTAACCGCTAAACCACCGCGGTTCTCGAAAAGTCAGGAATGGAGAAGAGGCGAAAAAGGTTGTGAGGTTGTTTGGGATCAGATAAAAAAAAGCGCCTTAAATCTGTTGGTAAAGAAGTCCATTTATTACCACGCTTTTTTAAAGAAGAGCCAATAATTTTTAAAATGATTTATATACTATAACACATACATCACGGACGGTTAAATTTTCTTGCGAAGAGTCTTAAGTGATGAAAAATGTTGTAAAAATTTCGATGGCATTACAACAAAATTTCTATGAGATGCTACATGCATCACTAACGCTTTGAACAAAGACTGTTCTGTCGCATATCATTCCCTTGTGTAAGATATGGACACATTATCAATATACAAGTAACAAAAATGTAATCTATAATGCAGTCTAGCATGAAAATCGCTATAAGCGAGTTAGAATACCACTAAAAAACTCATAACGTAAATTCAAAGCTTACAGCTCATGTGGCCTCTTGACAGAAGTGTTTGCTCAATTATAAGTCAATGCCTATTATAAGATAATTTCTGCACCGAATTGAAGATTTTCCCATAGAAAATATGCTCTTTTCAACTATATTTAATATATAGATGAATTTGTCCAAACAGGACTACTGTGGAAAATGAGAACTTCACTGGAAGAGGTTAGACACAGAAGGCTGTGTCTTGTTAAATAATTACAACAATCCCGTACCAAATTGATAAATATAGTTTCACTCCATCTATATTACTCGTATTTTTGAATCAATACAATTAAAATAATTCCCTAACATATAATTATAATATTTGCTCTAAAAAAGCAGTCACGCTTTCGCAATTTATTAAGATAATGTGAAAAACTTCTACTAAAGTTTAAAAAAATCTCCTCGTAAACGGTTTGTTCCAAGTCACTTAACCCATACCCTATTACCGTGCAAGCGGGATATTTGCAAACACAAATGTGATGAAGCTACTTGGAAGCAGTATATTGCTTATCCCTCGAGGCTTTGGAAGCGAAAAGCGCTTAAAGCTGCTAAAAGAAATTTCACGTCTTGTATAAAGCAGGCTAAGGAATGTTTTGCTTACAATGACAAGGGTCTTCGCAGTCTTTTCAGCCATAAGTCATTGCAAACACACACAGTGCAAATAGCTTCATTACATGTAACTATTAGTGGCATTCTAAATGGAAGTTAGATCACTGTTATTCATTGCCAAGAGAATCTTAATACTTCCATCTTCTTCTCGTGCTTCTACTTTCAATCTGCGCTATCTCGTATTCTCCATCTTCCTCTTCCTCAAGAGCAAACTGCACTGGACTATACTTCCGGTCTCTATACACCTGGAAAGATGACGTATTTCTGGTTCTCCATGACGCGACGGGAGGGCGCTGGGTTTCTCTTTCGATATTAATTTCCAATTCTGTCGTTTCGTGACGGTCCGGTACATCAATATCCAGTGTGGTTGTTTGAGGAGTTACTTCGAATTCACTTGCAGTAGTCTGTGGGGTGTAGCCGTAGTCGGATGTTTCACGTTGTCTTACACGAAGGTCATACTCTGTTGAATTACTCTGCTGGGTGAAGCTGTAGTCGGTCGTTTGTTGCTTCTGTGACGGCAAGTCAAATACTGTTGACGTAGTCTGTGGTGTAAAACTGTAGTCAAATGTCGTATGTGGTCTCACATTGATATCCAGTGTAGTTACTTGCGGTTTGACATCGATGTCCAGTGTTGTTACTTGCTGAGGTCTTTCCGTGACGTCTACACGAAGTGTCGACGTCTCTGTTTTGTCGTCCGAGCGATCTGACAGTTCTGCTTCTTCCAGTTGCTTCTTACACTGCTCATACGCTCTGTGACTGAGTATCAGATCATCTTGTAAACTCTGGATCTCGCTTTTCAGTTCTTCAATCGTATTCTGCAAATTACTAATCTGACTAGCCTTGCGTTCTCGATCCAGGTCCTGTGACCTACACTCCCGTCTCTGATCTTCAAGTTCTCGCTCCAGTCTCTCGAGACGAGTCTGCTTCGCCGTGACGTCATTGTTCGCATCGTTCAGCTTCCTCAAAGCATTTTGCAGATCGGTTTCGACTTTCCTGAGTTCAATTCTGGTGCTGCTTATTTCCTGAGAGATCTGCTCTTTTTCTATAGCTCTGGAATCGAACTCGCGCTCGACAATCAAGATTCGTTCCTTCGCTGTCCTTAATTCATACTCTAACCGCCGCTTCTCGTCCTCAGAGAGTTTGTTGGAGTCCTCGATCCTTCGTAGCTTGCTTCTACAATCATCGAGGTCAAACTCCAGATTCTGTTTCTCCTGAACCAATTTTTGTTTCTCGATCACGATGATCCTATGTTCCTCTTCAATCCTGGTGTACTTCTCCTTTATCACTGTGTATTCGTAGTAAATCTCTTCTTTTTCCCTCCTTGCCTTCCCTGCATCATCGGTGACTTCATCTTTTAACGCTACTTCAGCCTTGAGCCTTTCATTTTCTCGAGTAAGTTCACGGTTCTCTTCGGCAAGGTTGCGTTTTTCACTTCTGAAAGTCTGGATTTCGTCTTGTAAGTTCACTCTCTCCCTTTCCCACGACTCGCGCTCTCGCCCTCTTACGCCGGCGTCTCGTTTTAGTTTCTCTAACTCCAATTTAACGCGCCATAGGTCCTCTTGAAGTTCTGACTTGCTTGATTTTACCGCGGTAATCTCCTCCTTGAGGCTGCTCTTTTCACTCTCAAACGAATCGTATTCATATTTGCTCATGGACATTTCTCGCTTCAAACGCTCAATCTCGAGATTTGCCGCTCTCAGTTCTTCCTTGATTCTTCCGTTCTCTTCTTCGTAGTAATCTTTCTCCTTTTTCACAAGTGCTAACCTTTCGTTGGTATTTTCATAATCATCTTTGAGAAGGCGAAGCTCTTCTTCAGCCCGTGATTTATCTTTTCCTAAGTTGAAAACTTCTTCTCTGTAATTCTTTCGTTCTTCGGCCCAACTGTCTTTGTCATCCCTGCTGTATACTAGTTCTCTTTTCAGAGTGGAAACTTCAAAGTTAAGAGAGGTAATTTGACTGTTAAGTTCACTAATCAGAGTCTCTTTCTCGAACACTATTCGTTGATGTTCGTCATCAGCGCGGTCGTGCTCGAAGGTTTTAGCTGATAATTCAGCTTCGCTTTTATGCAGCCTCTCCAGGGCTTCCTCCAGTTCATCTCGCAGACGATTCTTCTCCAACGTAGAGTTATTGCCGCGGTCATCCAACTGCTCTTGTAAGTAATTTACTTCCTTGGTTTTGTCGTCCAGTAATCTCTGCAGTCGAATGTTCTCGTCATTGTTACTTTTAAGTTGGGTCATTTCACGACGCATGCCGAAGAGTTCATCTTCAAGAGCGCGAATTTTCTTCTGTGCTTCTTCCAGCTCTGAGTTCAGTCTGTTGTTGTCTTCTTGAGATTGTTCGTACATGGTTTCTGCTCTGCTCAGTTTTCTATGCAAATCTAAGATGTCGTCCTGAAGATCATCTGCTTTGTCCTTGGTGTCATCCTGCCTATCCTCCAGGTCCCTCAGTCTTTGTTTCAAAGAAGCGATCTCGTCTTGCAATGCGTTTTTCTCTTGGTGACAATACTGGTGCGCTATGACCATTTCGGAAGCCTTCTTATGTGTGTCCAACAGCTCTTTCTGAAGCCTCATTTTCTCGTCTTCGCTTTCTTTACAGAACCTTTCAAGCTCTCGGTATTTTTCAGTATTGGTTTGAAGTTCATTCCTTAGAAGCCTGACCTCCTCTTGGGCGGATTCTCGGTCCGGTCTACTTGAGAAACTACCATCTTGGAAACTACGAAGATCTTGTTTCAGAATATCGCTTTTTTTCTTGTACGTTTGTAACTCCATTTCTGTATCAGAAACTTTCTTTTTCAAGTATTCAAGCTCCTGTTCTAGCATTCCATTTTGAACTTCATTTGTTTCATTGTTATCTTGCAATGTGCAGACAAGATTATGCGTCGATATCATTTCATTTCGCATCTTTTCCTTCTCTTCTTCACTTGATTTTAACTTTCTCTTGTTTTCTTCCAATTCATCTCTGAGCATCTCCAGTTCATGGCCGATTGTGTCTTTTTCTCTTGTAATGTCCTCGTGAGATCTCTCCTTCTCAAACAGTTCCCTCCTGATAGTGTCCACCTCATCCGTGAGAAGTGACTTTTGTCTCTGAATGTTGTCTAAAGCGGCCGCTTTATCTTCAGCTTCTCG